CCCCAAAACCCCAAAACCCCAAAACCCCAAAACCCCAAATGAAGCATCTGAAGTAAATTTCTTGTAAGTAAATAAAATATATGATGGGTTTATTAAAATTCACCATGAATACTGCCGATATTGCTAAACTCTTATCATTTTTAAGTATAATCCTTTTGTAATTAGGATTCAGTCAAGCCTAAAAAGATCCCTTTAACTGCGGTAATAACAATGATTGCATTTACATTTCATTTTGCTGCTCAACTAACTCATGTGTAAATCCTAAGATATGCTTAGATGGTGAAAAGCTGTACAATGACTACTGTGACTTTAACTTTGAATGTATGTCTCGCTGTTGCAATGAGAATAAGTGCTCTCATTTCCTTAAATGCTACAATAAATGCGAGACAAATAGCGAATGTGGAGAAACCTCTAGCTGTTGCAGTGAAGGATATTGCACTCATGAAGTAATTTGCAAGGGAAATAAAGTCATTGGAGATAATTGTGATAAAAATGATGAGTGTATTACCAATCTCTGTTCATAAAATGAATGCAAGGATCAAGACAATATGTTTCCCAATAAACTCGTAGTTATTGCAGTTGTAGTAGCAATATCTGTATTAATAGCTACATGCATCATGTATTTCTGCTTTAAATATCTGTTTAGTGATGATAATCGCTAAACCACACATAGAAACAGCACAGATTCCAAAAAGACCTATCAGTAGCATTTAATAGATTAGGGATAAAGTGGGAGAAATAGTCCCTTCGGTAACAGCTAAAGTTCTCGGGGTTAATAAGCTCAAGTTTAGAAATTAAACTTTTAGCATCTAGTCAAAAAAGGAAAAGCAAATCTGCCAAATGAAATGAAATATCTCGTCACACCAATTCACGAATTCTCAAATGAATTTAATACGTATGACTCTTAAAACATTAATAACAGATCAGTTGTGAGTTCGAGAGTTGGCTTATTATCTCATGATTAATAACTGGTGTAGCGTTCATCTTGGGCAAAAGATGATGATTACCTTAGAAATTCATAAAATGAGTAAGATGATATGATATTCCTGCCAGCATAGATTATTGCAGGGGTAGCTAATGATAGGAAATCTTTGACAAAAAGGAACACTATCAAGGAAACCTATGAAAAAAATAGAGAAAGATATGGAAATAGACTAGAAATTAATACTGCTATTCCTAACTTTGGAGGGACATCTAGGGCGCGCACAAGTGGCATTGATTAAAGTAGAAGATTTGGAAATCAGTACTTTACCTTAAGTCCCAGAATAGAGGATTAGCATTAGTTTAATGAAAGTAATTAAGACGATTAGAGATTTGAGACTGAGAATTTCGAGATGGCTATACAGCAAAGTAGCAGTCAAGGCACCTCAAAAAATAAAAATGAGTGAGTTGCTTTAATCATTTTACTAGCGAGTAGTGGTGTAATAGAAAGAAACTATAATCTATTGGAATGTATTAATTTTTTACTTATTATCATCCTTATGATTAATTGATAAATTTTGGTCCTATTTCATCAGCTTAATTAATCTGCATGCAATTTCTCCTATGGGGTTTTGGGGTTTTGGGGTTTTGGGGTTTTGGGGTTTCGGGGTTTTGGGG